GTGGACTGTAACATTAGGCAATTGTCGGGGTTCGGTTGATACCATTCAAACGTTTTATGGCCAAAAAAAAAAAATCTCCGGTTTCTGGTATGCACGCGCGTCGCCGTAGCCATGCGTCGCCGTAGCCTTTCAATGAAAGATGATGTCTCAAAACCGCCAAACTCACTGGTTTGACTGGAATCCTGCTGCTGCACAATTGTAACGTGTTTTAAGATTGGGTTATGGTCGAGAATAAGCTTTATGTGGCCTCTCTGGACTCCCATATATTTGCACTAAGTTTAGTCGGGCACCATTTGCATTCATCAGCACACATTTGAAGCAAAAAAATCAGGTAAAAAAAAAAGCCGCGTCGCCGCACCACTTTTTGGGCAGCTCCGTACCAGAAACCGGACACTTTTTTTGTGGCCTATTGGTTCGTAAGTAGTGTTCATAACTAGTGTTAATTGTATGAAAGAGACTGTTCAATTCTTATTTCTTTATACCTTTCATTGGTGTAACTATGGGCCATGTGTCTCTCCCCCCCCCCCAACTCCATTTGAAATCTGAATTGCACACAACAAATGTATATGTTACCTTCCTTTGCCCCCCCCCCCTTCAAAAAAAATTGGTGAACCCCCAGGTGCCCCCTAGAAGCTTAACTCTAGTTACGCTGCTGGTACCTTAAGAAATTCCAGATCACGTACGTTTCACTCCCATAGAATGTGTGATATTTATAAGTTATCTATAGGTGTGGTGGGTACTTGACTGCACCCTCGGCAGCCATACGATATCAGTTCTTCCACTTTTAGATGTCAAGTTTAACTGTCTTTACGCCCATAATTTAAAGAAATATTTACTTTCAATATTTTTTTGTATAAGCATGCCCCATTCATTTCAAAAAAACAATTCCACGTTCTGATTTTTCCCTTGTAAAGTGGTTGCTAAGGTGCCAACAAATTTTGATCATTCATGTGTCACTTTTTCGCTTAGGATTTCTAAACATTTGAAGTTTTCACAGGACAATAAAATACTGAACATAAAACCCCATGAGGCGATCTTGAACAAACAAAAGATTTATTTGTACTACTTTTTTTTTTTGATAAAAAAGAAGAATTTTTAAAGCTGACTAAACAGTGTTGATGTAGTGATTGTTTTTTTGTTTTTTGTTTTTTGGCTCGCAACACGTGGTACTAGACCTCAACAAGCCTGACTAATTTTCTAAGCTCATAGTTACATACTCAATGTATTTTGAGAGCATGTTGACAATATTCAAATGCGGTCAATCAGGAGATAAAAAATCAAAGAGAAAATGTGTTCACAAATCTGATTACTTGATGATCCCCTCTACCATTATGTACAAGTATAAGTGTTGGGGAAACCACTGATGTTATGTTTTTGTCGAAAACAAAATGGTCCTAAATGTAAACAAACAACAACTGAGAAAAGACAGTTGTTTCATGAAATCATTGTTGCTATAATCTCAGAAAATGTTTTTAAAAATGTCTTCGACAAAATATACAGTGAATGAACTAACTAGTGATACAATAACAACGGCTTCCAAATTAAGTGGTCTATAAATGATAAAATACAAAGATATCTTTTTGAGTTGCATAATCGGTGTAAAATAGGCAGCCCTCATTATGTATACAAATAACACTAGCAGTCACACATTCCCAGTGGAAAATGCAGCTAAAACGTATGTGAGATGCTGATTGGTAAAATAACAGACTTTGGATCTTTGCTGAAATGCCATTGTTGTCATGGAAGCTGCGTTCTCTTGGAGAAGTATTCTGTAATTAAAGCAAATGCTTATTGCTTCATTTAGGCTTCTTGGTCTATCAGCATTTAGCAAACCAATACTTATTCAAAGAAGTAAAAGCCTCTATCAGTTATGGAATAAACTAAACTATTATTGTAATGATATGGAACCTCTTACAAGTAGGTCATTCTATACATTTAGGGTCCAAAGTCGGACATTTTTCCTGTCCCTGTAAACTCTGAATTGTATCATTTGCCATTCAAGTGGCATTAAAAATGACTTCAAACTAATTAATATTTCTTGGGTAAGGTCATTTGATTCACAGAAGCATTCTTGGAGGAAGAGTACACACATAAAGGAGTGCATCTTCTATTACAAAATCGTCTATGCTAGATGTATAGGGACAGGAAAAAGTAAAAACCCAATTTATAGTGTGTTGTAAATGCATCTTCTATTGTAGTATTTAAAAACACCATTTAAGAAAGGCGTACAAACAAGATTTCAGTTTACAAATGTACATCCATCATACTAACCACATTTACAAACATCCATATATCATTGCAGTAGAATGCACAAGGTTTTCATTTTCAACTTGGTTGTAAATGTAATGAAACTAATATTAGTTTGATGAGGCACTCGGAAAGCACTGTGAAAGAGACAACCAAGGGATTGCATATGATTTACTTTGAAACTATCACTTTAGTTCAGAATCACATATTTCGTCCAGTTGCTTTTGAGTATTTACTTTTGTCTCATGTACATGGAGGTGCAAAATCTTTCTCATTTGAAACTAAGTTGTGTTTTTTTAAACTCAACAATTTTCCCCATATTTGGAAATATTGAATAACAAAATCTAAGGAAATCTTTACATTTCACAAAGGAGCAGGGTTATATCTTATACTTGTAAAACACATCATGCATTGACTTTGCATTTGCTGAGATGAATCCAAAATAATTGAATTGCCTCTCGTGGTAATATTTTCCCTCTCGTTTTTTAATAATTTTAAAATGTGCAATCTGCCCTATTTGCAAACAATGTGAAGGGTCATTTCTTTGCTCTCATTATTGGGCCCCCAGATCTGTGATTTTGTAGGAAGTAGCAAGTAGAGTGGGTGTTGAAGTCCAAGAAGGGGAAGTGGTTGAGGTACGAGAGTCAACATGTACGGAGAGCAAATACCTTAGAAATAAACCAAACATAGAGTATTGTTGAATGTCTTATTCGAGAGATGAACTTCAAAGTTCTTTTCAGTGATAATTAACAATATTCAATGTCTGATGGAAGTGGTTGGTGGATACACTGGTTAGCCCCAGTTTAATTAATCTGTCCTTACACTCGGTGATAGACCTTTACAGACAGTCCTGCAGCCACTACCAGATCACCATATGATGTGAATGTGATGCCACGTGGAGAACCACATCCCTTGATCACACATCCAATGTACTTGCCATCAGGACTGTAGTGCAGAATATCACCTGTTGGATGTCCATACACAGCAACATAGATGCTGCTATCACTGTCACAGCACACACCAGTAGGCAACCCACCCCCCTGCATGTTGCTGGTCATGTCAACTGAGAATACACTGGCACCATAGTAGTCTACACATACCAACCTTTTCTTAGGCAGGTTTGTGTAAATAAGCCGGTGATTGTACATTGTCAGATAATCTCTAATCAGTGGAGCAGGCAGTCTCCTGATGAGGGATCCATCTGGGTTATGTAGAGATATCTCATCCTTGCCTGCATAACCCACTGCTATCAGATTGCTGTCATCCACTGCAAGGCATGTTGGTTGGCTGTCCCACCCTCTACCTGGTGTGAACTGATGGAGGAGCTGATGCTGCTTGTTGAAGACCTTGACTACTTGACCATCTAGAACAAGGAGCTTGTCATCCTTGCTCACTGCAATACACATTGCATCAGTGAGGCCATTGATTTGTAGCCTTTGTGGGAGTGGAGATGGTGTATGTTGACTATTGGTCAGTGACACTGTGAATAATGCATTATTCCAATTGTTTAACACTATGTTATTGTCAGAGAGTGCTGACACATGACGTATCTGTGTATATCCTAATTTAAAGTTCTTGAATTCAGTCTTCAGTTCCCATTTCTCCTTCACACATGATCTTGCAGGTCTTGGTGATTGCTTTGCTGCAGCCTTTGGATCTTCCTCCAGAATGAGTCTCCCAAGTGACCTCTTACCTTTTTCAAAATCCATGAAGGTCAACTTGTCAGGAACTTGCTGTGGCCGTTTCCCTGTCAATTCACTGAGGTTATGCAAGAGCTTCTGCTGAAGTTCAAGAATCTCATAGCAACTTGCTTGATTCATGAGTTGTTTGACCTCCTCCAGCTTGTGCTCTGTCTGTGTCACCTCTTTCCTGTTGTTAGCTTGAGCAGCTTCAAATGTTGTGACTCTCTCTTGATAAATCCTGTCAGTCTCTTTTAACAGTTTCTGCTCCTCCTGTCGGATTTTGGTAACCTCTTGGTCAGCCTTTTCTGAGATGTTCTTTTTGGTGTTTGAAAACATGATGTCGAGTTTCTTGCGAGATATGCAAGTCTTCTCTATGGTGGTGTTCAGTTCTGTTTTGCTTCGAGCAACTTTTGCAACAAGTTCTTCTACCTTTTTCTTACATTTCTCAAAGGCCTCAGGTAAGCCAATACAAGAGTGTTTGGGTTTTTCATGATCTAGAACAGTACACATGAGACATATGACTTGCTCACATGTGTCGCAGTAAACATTGAGATTCTGATCTGGATGCTTGCCACATTTGGGAACTTCTTCTCTTAGCTTACTCTTGTAGACAATCTCTCCTGATCGGAGTTGAGCCAGTGTATAGATTTCATGAGATTTCATTAGGGTTAGACGTTCATGAGCCTTTTGACATTCTTGACACAGGAAATGATCACAGTCCATGCATCTTGACACAGCCTGATTCTCCTCATCACAGGCTTGGCATTTGATCTCTGACCCTTGACTTCCCAGTAGCTTTTCCTGCATTGTAATTCCTCCACTAGGGCACTGAATGCAAAGTTATTAGGGAGATCAGCAACCTCAGACCCTTTCAACATGGTGTCACGTCTGCACAGAGGACATGTCAGCTTTGTACCACTAGGATCTTGGCTCTGTCTGAGCTCTTGGAGGCATTGCAGGCAAAAAGTGTGCAAACAGTCCAGCAGTTTGGGCTGCCTGAAACGGTTGGTGCAGATGGAGCATTCCAGATGATCCACACTAATCTTCTCCAACACTGATTGGGCTGTAACATTAGATGCCATCTTCACTGTTGGGCTTGGTGCGATGGGATGGACCTTTAACCTGAAAATGAAGCACATTAAGTAAAAGGTTTTGGAATAACACGTATTTCAACTTCAAATGATAATTTGGTTGAAATAAGTTAGATGTAGCCTATAGTTGAAAACTTTTTGTCAAGTAGAGTGTTCATAAAATGAAGGTTTATTCACATACTATATGCTTGATTCAAACCTGATGTTAGTTTTTTTTTTCCTAAAGAAAATAGCAATTAGTTTCAACAAATTTATAATAGGGTTGCCTTCTTCATATAAGAGCACATTATTTTTAACCTGAAAAGTGCAATATTAATAGAGTTTTCAATGACAAACAAATGCGGACAGTCGCACGGAATTTTAAAAAAGGGCACTCGTAAATGGCCGCTGGTAACCAAAAAGGCACTGATTAAAAAAAGGGCCTTGTTTACAAACAAAGGGCACTCTTTACAAATATGGGGGGGGGGGGGTAAAACGATGTAAAAGGGCACTTGTATACGAAAGGTCAGTCTTACTGCTTAATACTCAGGTGGGGCTCCAACCCAGTACCTCCTGTTTAGTGCAGACATCTTATTGCTCAACCTTTGAGCTTGCCTGGGTCAGCTGGGTGGTTTGAGTTAAGGTGGGCTGGAGTTACTGCAACCAAATATTGTCTGCACCCAAAAAAACCCAACATATTTCAAGTACTTTAACTGGCTCATATTTCAAATCGTAGACTCAGAGTCCATTTTCCTTTAAGAAATTTCATAAAAAAAAATTTTACCTTCACATCGGTTTTATTTTGTGTTGTTTTAGTATTATTTTGTGATTCACTAAGCTACGTCTGTGCCGAATCTTCTTAAAGGTCCAACACTTGTTTGTAAAACTACAGGTAAGTACAAACAATGCATGTCACTTATTTCTGTCGTGAATAGAAGGAGATGCATGTATTCCACATGTCTGTATTCTAACAGGTTTGACGGATCCACCTGAATTGCTAGTAAATACGCACACTTGTAATTGGCAAATGCTGAGTGTACACGTACTTCATATGAGATAATGTGCTGCTGTTGATTTATATCAGACGTATAGACAGACTTCCAGGTAGACCCAATAAATAAAAATCTTACCTTCAGGTACACATGAAATGAGCCATTGCTTTCTTCCCATTCTGATGTCACTTACGGCAATGGTTGAAATGAACAAAGATGGCGTTCTATGTATACGCCCCTCTGTATCAACACAGACCATGTCACCTGATTTTGAGTACAGTCATTTGCTGTCCCTGGATTCCACTTCTGTAGAGCTTTGGTACGTGCTCGTAGTAAAATCAAATAGAGTGTTTTATATCAAATGGATCCAAAGGTTTTGGGCTGGTAATATTTGCACTAATACCCAAATTCCGATAACGTAGCACTGCGGTACGTGCTCACAGTAAAATCAAATACAGCATGTCGACTGTGTTGTATATCTAATTGATCCAAAGGTCTAGAGCTGGTAATATTAGCAATATGACAGGCAAGTTTATCAGAAAGGTAAACATAAAAAAGCCACAGGGTCACAAATTGCAGTATTCTAAGCTGACTGATATTGCAAATAGCACTTGTTTTAATATCTATAAGTCGCAGAGCTGACATACCAGCGAATCGACCATCTTGGCGATTTTGAGATTTTGTTATTTTGGGGGTTTATAGAGGTTGCTCCTTCAGGTATTCATGGCAAAATTCTTGGTTCTTATCTGGATTTTGAAATTCAGAATCCCCCCCCCCCTGTGGCGAATCAGTCACAATAACAAATCCATAATATGACATAGTGACAAATACGGAATTGCGTTGGTAACCAGCTAATGTAAGGTATGCGTTCAATGTACCAAGGAATGTTATTCGTCAGTTTGTCAGATTGTGCGCGTGTGCACGCGTGATCCGACAAACTGATGAATAGCACACAAACAATATGAAAAACAACCTGCTATTAGAGATTTTTGTAATTTGACAAACTGACGAAAATGTTGACGATCAAATAAAGACATATCGCACAACTTCTCTGACTAAATAAGTAACCTGATTGATACTATGTTTCCTATTTTATTCCGAATAGGTTATTATCGAAACATGAAGGGTAAAATACAACGCCCAGAAAAATGTCCAACTTCATACGTGAATCACTCCAAACAGGCTTTTCGCTTAGTCGTCAGTATGTCAGCTCTGCGATGATATGTTTTAAATCAGGGTACTCAAGTCTACCGTATAAATCCCCTCCCCCCCCAAAAAAAAAAAAATATAAAAGAAGTAAACAATGAACCAACATTAAATAGTTATGGAATCTATATATTTTTTTCACTTTCTTTACATTTATCTACATTTTAGCTATTGTGCATTTGGTGTTTTACATGCACGTATAGCATTCAACAGCAACTATCCCTGCATCATAACTAAATACATTTCTTTCAGTGATTCAGTGTTGGCAGTACTTCATTGCAAACTTTCCAAAACTGACAATTTTTGAGGCTTTCTCTTTTTTAAATAAGATGTATGCAGCCAAGTTCAGTTCATTCAGCACTAAATTTGAATATTCATTTATATTTTGTGTCTTCTATAGGCTGATTGGTCCATTGCTGAGATGAATGCTGAGATTGGGGAGAGCCACGCCCACCTCTACACATCACAGACTGATGAACAGGTACTAACACAACAGCAGTAATGTGGTGTCAGTCTATTTGAAATCTGTACGGGTGGTCATTTTCCCGACCAAAGAGACTGTTACGATATCACATGATTTGAGGCAAGCCTTATGCTAGCAACCCCCAGCGGCGGCATGGTCTGGTGTCTTTGTGCCATTCTCACCCATTGTGAACAATGTATTGGTGCTGAGCGTCCCTTACGTCACTATGCAAGAGATTGCCTGAAATCATGTGATTAGCAACAGTGTCTTTGGTCTGGAGTGATGCACGAGCGTGACCTTGAATCATCATCACATCATATTTTAAATAACGCGCGTAATCAGAAGCCGTCTGGCACGTTCACATCTCACTCACGTCTTGCCCACAGTGAGCATTCGCGTATGCTAACAGTTTTGAAAGCCAATGTCGGGTTTTATTAGATCTCTTTGTCCGTTGTTTTATTACAAAAACCTGCATCAAAATTGACCAATGAACAGCTTAGTCCAGATTTCAGAAAGGTGTGATACAACGGGCTATACTCAGACTGGTGCTGAGGCTTAATTCCTACAAAACGATTTTTTATTTCATTTTACTCAGAATAGAGTCGCCTGCAACATAAGGCAGTTAAAGGGGGTTGATACCATTCAAACCATTTTTTTGTTTTTTTTGTAACAATTGTCATTTGTAAAAAAATGTATACGTTACTTTCAGTGCCCTCTCAAAAATAAATGGTGAACTCCCTGGTGCCCCCCTAGATGCTTAACCCTAGTGACGCCACTGGTACCTTTAGAAAGTTCCAGATGCTGATTGGTGAAATAACAGACTTTGGATATTTGCTGAAATGCCATTGTTGTCATGGAAGCTGCGTTCTCTTGGAGAGATATTCTTTAATTGTAGCAAATGCTCATTGCTTCATTTAGACTACTTGGTCTATCAGCATTTAGCAAACCAATACTTATTCAAAGAAGCAAAAGTCTCAATCATTTATGGAATAAACTAAACTATTATTGTAATGATACGGAACCTCTCACAAGTAGGTCATTCTATACATTTAGGGTCCAAAGTCAGACATTTTTCCTGTCCCTGTAACCTCTGAAATTTATAATTTGCCATTCAAGTGGCATTAAAACTGACGTCAAACTAATTAATATTTGTTGGGTAGGTCATTTGATTCACAGAAGCATTCTTGGAGGAAGAGTACACACATAAAGGAGTGCATCTTCTATTACAAAATCGAGATGCAAGACGTATAGGGACAGGAAAAAGTGGATGTCAAATTCATAGAATGTTCCAAATGCATCTTCTTTTACAGTATTTTAAAAATCACATTTAAGAAAGGCGAACAAACAAGTTTTCAATTTACAAATGTACATCCATCATACTAACCACATTGACAAACATCCATGTATCATTGCAGTAGAATGCTAGATTTTCATATTTAACTTGGTTGTAAATATGCAATGAAACTAATATTAATTTGATAAGGCACTCAGAAAGCACTGTGAAAGAGACAACAAAGGGATTGCATATGATTTACTTTGAAATTACATGTACATGTATCGCTTGAGTTCAAAACCACAAATATTTCATCCAGTTGCTTTTGAGTACTCTGTGGTGCAAAATCTTTCTCATTTAAATAAGTTGAATTCATTTAAACTAAACAATCTTCACAATAATTGATAAATCGAAGAACAAAATTTAAGGAAATGTTTACATTTTATACAGGAGTCGGGGCGGATCCAGGGGGGGGGGGCATGGGGGGTGCATGCCCCCTCCTTTTTTCTTCAGAATAAAAATGTTACACACGCTATTATTGATTTCAATTGGACATGCTAAATCTTGACGGGAAATGCCTATATTTCTGATGCATGTGTTATCAAATTGCACATTCACAACATCAAAGCCATGCCGCTGTACGATGTTCCGTATGGCATGTGGCAGTGCAGTGCAGTGCCATCGTGCCATTCACTGGTTCCCACCGCGTGTTAACAGAATCAAAGCTATGATGTAGGACTGGAACCAGTGACTACAGGCTTCATATACGTTGCGTTGAATTTGGCTCAAAGAAAATACCAAACGAACATCGATGGAGAAAGAGAATTTCTTCAAATTAATTCCCAGAATGTGATCTCTTTTCTGTGTATGTATTCTCCATTAAAATGAATATTTATGACGAGATTGTTCTGCTCATACGTGATACACCATAGTGAGTTTCTGCAAACTTTTCAGCCCACAGCACTTTCGGTCATTTCTGGGTCCGCTACACAGTACACAGTGCTGCTGTATGCACTGTACCGATAGTGCGCCGTGTGCGCGACGCAATATACGACCAGTGCTGGCCAGCGGCTGACTGTAACAAACATTTTCATAATTGAGCATAGTGGCGTGAAAATTCTTCATTATTTTAAAGTACATCCACCTTGAATATGTTTTCATATTAGGTAAGGCAAATTTTTATCAAAAAGTTTTGATGGACAGTCTCGATAACTCTCGTGGCGCGATAGGAATGTGATAGGAATCAGATTTTTTTGGTTCTTCCGACTTATTTCTCAACTTGAAACTTACTTTTAATCCATATAGGCCCACTTTTCCAATTTCCAGTTTAGGAAGTTGAAATGTTAGTGAAATGATTATTCAATATTTCATTTTTTAAAATATTAAAAATCTCCTCTGAATTTTGAGGAAAAATCTAATGCAGAGATCCCCAGATTTGCTCTAAAATGCACTAGACAGTTTCTAAAGGTCAACATTTTTGGGGGCCCTTAGACGGGCCTTGAACCCCACGACGTGCCTTGAACCCCACGACATGGCTTCACGAGTTGGTGTGTCACAACAAAATTCTGCACAGGTTTCAAAATATTTCACGCCCCCCCCCCCCCTTTTGGAAAATCCTGGATCCAACCCTGGGAGTAGGGTTATATCTTATACATGTACTTTGAAACACATCATGCATTTACTTTGCATTTGCTGACACAAATTGAATTGCCTCTTGTGATCAATACAATCCCTGTCGTTGGTAATACTTTGAAAATGTACACTCTGCACTATTTGCAAACAATGTGAAAGGTCGTTCCTTTGTTTTTATTATTGGACCACCACATCTAAGATTTCATAGGAAGTAGACTGGATGTTGAGTTCCAAGATTTTCCAAAGGGGAAGTGGTTGAGGTATTACATGTAGAGTCAACACATACAGAGACCAAAGACCTTAGAAATAAACCAAATATTTTGTATTGTAGAATGTTGTTCAAGGGGATGAACTTTAAAGTTCTTTTTCAGTGATAACAAAGTTCAATGTCTGATGGAAGTGGTTGGTGGATACACTGGATAGCCCCAGTTTAATTAATTTGTCTTACACTTGGTGATAGACCTTTACAGACTGTCCTGCAGCCACTACCAGATCACCATTTGATGTGAATGTGATGCCCCGTGTATAACCACATCCCTTGATCACACATCCAATGTACTTGCCATCAGGACTGTAATGCAGAATATCACCTGTTGGATATCTCCCCACAGCAACATAGATGCTGCCATCACTGTCACAGCACACACCGGTAGGGTTCTTATGCTCCCGTATGTTGTTGGTCATGTCTACTGAGAATACACTGTCGCCATTGTAGTCTACACATACCAACCTTTTGGTAAAGTCTGTTGTGTAGATAAGCCGGTGATTGTACGTTGTCAGATAATCCTTAATCTTTGGACCAGGCAGTCTCCTGATGAGGGATCCATCTGGGTTGTGTAGAGATATCTCATTCTTGCCTCTAGAACCCACTGCAATCAGATTGCTGTCATCCACTGCAAGGCATGCTGGTTGGCTGTCTGACCCTCTACCTGGTATGAACTGATGAAGGAGCTGATGTTGCTTGTTGAAGACCTTGACCACAGGACCATCTAGAGCAAGGAGCTTGTCATCCTTGCTCACTGCAATACACCTTACATTATTTTGGAGGCCATTGATTTGTAGCCTTTGTGTGATAGGAGATTGTTTCTGATGACTATTGGGAATTGAAACTGTAAATATTGCATGTTCACTAAAAATTGCATTGGATAGTGCAAGTACTTTATTGCTAGAGAGTGCTGCAACCCGTGATAAGCATGTAGATATATTTGTTAATCCAAAGTTCTTGAAATCAGTCTTCAGTTCCCATTTTTCCTCTGCACATGATCTTCCAGGTCTTTGTGATTGCTTTGTTGCAACCTTTGGTTCTTCCTCCAGAGTGAGTCTCCCAAGTGACCTCTCACCTTCTTCAAAATCCATGAAGGTCAACTTGTCAGGAACTTGCTCTGGCTGTTTTCCTGTCAATTCACTGAGGTTATGCAAGAGCTTCTGTTGAAGTTCAAGAATCTCATAGCAACTTGCTTGATTCATGAGTTGTTTCACCTCCTCCAGCTTGTGCTCCGTCTGTGTCACCTCTTTGCTATTTGTAGCTTGAGCAGCTTTAAATGTTGTGATTCTCTCTTGGTAAATCCTGTCAGTCTCTTTTAACAGTTTCTGCTCCTCCTGTCGGATCTTGGCAACCTCTTGGTCAGCTTTTGTTGAGATTTTCTTTTTGGTGTTTGCAAACATGGTGTCAAGTTTCTTGCGAGATATGCAAGTCTTCTCTATGGTGGTGTTCAGTTCTGTTTTGCTTTGACCAACTTTTGCAACAAGTTTTTCTACCTTTTTCTTACTTTTCTCAAAAGCCTCAGGTAAGCCAACACAAGAGTGATTTGGTTTTTCATGATATAGAACAGTACACATGAGACATATGACTTGCTCACATGTATTACAATAGACATTGAGATTCTGATCTGGATGCTTGCCACATTTGGGAACTTCTTCTCTGATTTTACTCTTGTAGACAATCTCTCCTGATTGAAGTTGAGCCAGTGTACAGATTTTGTGGGAATTGATGACAGTCATACGTTCATGAGCCTTTTGGCATTCTTGACAGAGGAAATGATCGCAATCCATGCATCTTGAAATGGCCTGATTCTCCTCTTTACAGTTTTGACATTTGATCTCTGACCCTTGACCTTCCAGTAGCTTTTCCTGCATTGTAACTTCCTCCACCAGAGCACTGAATGCAAAGTTATTAGGGAGATCAGCAACCCCAGACCCTTTCAACATGGTTTCACGTCTGCATAGAGGACATGTCAGCTTTGTACCACTAGGATCTTGGCTCTGTCTGAGCTTTTGGAGGCATTGCAGGCAAAAACTATGCAAACAGTCCAGCAGTTTGGGCTGCCTGAAACGGTTGGTGCAGATGGAGCATTCCAGATGATCCACACTAATCTTCTCCAACACTGATTGAGCTGTAACACTAGATGCCATCTTGACTTTTTGAAGAATCAAGTTTTGTTTTTAGCCTAAGAATGAATAAGAGTGTCAAAGGTTGACTTCAATATATAAAATGATTATATTAATCATCTCAGACATTGTCAGCATGTTTTGTTTCCTCAGTTCATGGGTATCAATTCATCACCGTGTTCACGAAGATCGAGCCACATGTGGATTTTGAAGAAAATGTGTTTTCGAGATAATCACAAAAGAATTTTCTCCTCCTCTAAAACTGCAAAAAATACTACTTCGCAACAACTTTGTGCAACATATGGTTCCGTGAGAACTTAATTTTTATGTGAACTCAGTATGTAGAATTAATACAGTTGTTAATTAGCGAAAATTAATTAGTAAAGATGTGTGAAAACGAAACTTCAAGTTTCCTACATTTTGGCCCATTCTGTTCAATGTGTTTTTCCATATGGAAGGGGTGTGCCTGTGTAAGCCCGTGCTGCTGAGAATGTAACAAAGATATATGTGGCTCTTCGTGCAAACAAAAATCTCACTTGACCTACTTTTGTGCCTATCTGTGCAATAGGTTTTGTACACATTCAAGGGGCCAAAATTTGGCTCTTCGTGAAAACGCAAAATGCATTTATTGAGATTTCTGCCCCTTGCAACATTAACATCACTTGGAAATTAATGATGTTTTGCTTACACAAACATGTCACATTTTTTAAACTAAAGTAGTGAAGAAAAGAAATTGGAAAAAAAAATGTAATTGTTGACAGATGTGGCTCTTTGCGAAAACGGTGACGAATTGTAATATGTTACTAATTCAGTTGATTGACATAACTCCAATGTGTAGGAAGGCACTTGCAATTAGATGGCCCCTCTCTTAACACCCCCCCCCCCAAAAAAAAGTAATAAAAAAAATTGATGTCAATGCTTTTTGCTTACATGTAATATTTTTTTAATTCAAAGCATTGACATGAACTCCAATGTACAGGGAGGCTTTTGGGCGGTCCCACTCACTGGAGGAGAAACTAATTGCTTTAAAGTTTTTAAAACCCCCAATATTTTTGTTTCGTAAGGGAGCGCGGGCTGACTGAGGTGCATGGCCCTCCCTCCCCCTTTTTTAATTCCATTCAATACAATACTTAACATTTATATCAACCAAAATATATATAGCATTGAGGAAAATCATGATAAAGCATGTATAGGGGAAAAAAAAGATATGAAAAAAAAAAAAAACAGTGCAAACTTTGGGCATGATCCCTGGCTACATGGCGTAAACACATTAACGGCCTCTGTCTAGTGCCCCTTGAACAAAGACAATTTCAAACTAGGGAACCACCAACATAGGGCTGGTCCAAAATAGCTCAGTTGAGTGTTATACAGTATTCTGCAGATTATAGGTTCAAACCCCACCTTATCAAGTTCTTTGTTCAACTGTTAAACTTTTATTTGAGGTTCAAATGTAGGATCAAGGATGTGTTTAGTCCTCTCAAGCCAGTAGACTAAACAGGGACATTTTTGTCAAGAGTATTGTATTTGAGCATTGACTACTCCCTCTTGTAAGACCAATGCTGCACATACCGGTACTGGCAATTATTCCAAGATTCTTGACAAATGCCATGTAATATGGGTACAACCACAGTACAACATCAAGTATCTTACCTGAATTGAAGTCTTTTTGTTAGTTTTAGAAGAAAATTTGAAACTATCCTTCTTGAAGATGGCGCACAACGTAGGCAGTTGACACCGTTTGATGTGAATGCAATGCACTGTACATGTACATGTACATGAATGCCTAAGTATGTTGCACACAGTGCATAAATTTCCAGGTCTATTTATAGACGCTATTGGAGTCCACATGTACGTGTACTGTAGGGGTAATTTATGCACACATGAATGCAGGTTTACTGTGCATAAATAGCAGTCAGTGTATGCATGTACCCATGTGCCCCACACAAAAATAGAATCAGAAGTCACCAATGCTATTTTGGAGTAAGCAACCCTGGTGATTTTCAAATTTCAGCCTGAAGAGAATTTGTTGGTGTCAATAAATTTTTCCTAATAATCTATTTGCTCACTTTGGTTGAAAACAAATAGAGAAAAAATACATTTGTTCCTATTAAAATATATATTTTTTTAATCTATTTCTTTCCAGTGTATTTTGCCCCCCCCCCCCAAAAGGGGAACATTTAAAAGTAAAAAAATATAGTGGTAAAATAGGTTGCTATTAAAAAAATAGAATGCTATTTATAAAAAATAGTGCCCACAGACAATGGTAACAACTTAATATGTAGAGCATAGGGCAGATGATCTCTCATGTTGAAAATGCGCGCACATGGCGGTAATGCAAAATCATTTGCCTACATTTGATAAATGAGCATCTTTAGTTGTCATATACATAAATGAAATAAGCAAAAAAATACAACTGAATAAATTTAAGAAAGGATAATTGAAATAAAATAGATGAAAAGTAGTATGCAGTTTGAAAAATAGAAATAAAATAGGACGGCCACAAGAAAAATAGGAATAAAAAAGTTCATCTGTACCAACTTATTTTGATGTTATATGATAAAAATATATTAAAATAAATTTAATAGGAGTCTGCCAGATTAAGATCCAGATTCCTGAAAGAGTTCATTAAAGAAATCTGATGGGGTTATATATAGGTCTGAAATACTGGACTTCTTCCGTTGTGAGCTACACATGCAAAATTTTCTGAGAAGCTGTATTTCCTGAATTTGAAATCTAGATGGATTTTGTTCACTTTAATTTTGCTATGGATGCTGAAAATATTCAAAGTGTTGAGGTTTTAATAAAAACAGGGCTAACCTTATCAGACATCTGACATAGGGTAGTGGGTTTGGTGAGGTCTCAATCAGCGTGCAGGTTGAGTTTATGCAATCGGTTGTTTCATCTGCATGCTTGTTGATGATGCCACTCCAGACTGTGGATGTGGTCCCTATACAAGATCTCTGTATGAAGTCACCAAGCAGGATGATTTTATCCAAATGACAAGGAGATTCTGATCCAGGAGAATGTAAAATGAGTTCTTGACATTGTCAGAAGCAGCCTGATAATTTTGGCCAAATGTTTAACAATTCAAACAGCACGAAATAATGTGCACAACTGTTTACAAAACTAAACCCGGGGACTATTTTTACAGGATTTTATTAGTAAAATTCTCCCCCTCCCTTCTCCCCCAGGTCCCAGTCCCATGACCATGACGATTCTAGCTCCTGTGGTTCTGACACCAACATCCCCTCTAGAAGGACCAAGACTGTGTTGTCAGCGATGCCGAGATGTGACACATGATGCTCACCAGACCGGCCAAGCTTGATGCTTATTGGGTCAGTCACTACCGAACACCATTACCACACTGCAAAAACAGATAGATAAGCAAGACCCTGTGGAGGAATTCAAGGTGAATCTGAGGTAAAAGTTTGGCTCAGTGGTATTTCGAGAACTCGCCAATTTAAAAATCTCAAACAAATTGCATGAATTTCTGTAGTCTATAGAATTTCAAGTGAGGTTATCAGATCTTCCCATTTTCGTATCTGCAAAGCAGAATGTATCAGAATAGAAGGGCTTTATTGGGCAACGAACCGAATATTGCTCTTGATCAGCAATAGCTCAATGTATTACCAGACAGTTTTGCCAAACATGTTTTGTTTAGTCAGTGAAATGTGACTCACAAGTGACATGTCCCTGATGTCTAGTCTGAGTTTTGAGTTGAGTCATGAGAGCCGAGTTTGAGTCATCATCCATTGTAACTTGAAGTTGAGTCTGAGAATTTGCAGCACAAGTCAAACTCAAGTCCGAGTCACAGACTTGGTTCTATATTTCTGCCATACTGGTGTATGGCTATATTGTCCATGCCTTTGCTTAAGAATGTATATGCAAACGTTTAAGCCAGCCAAAGATAACTTGATTCGTTGTTGAAGTCCAAGCTAGAGAGAGAACAAGCAATGTTATGTGTGTTGTCTGTCAATTTGTTCACTTTGAAATGTAGGTGCTAGGCCTATATGAAGTGGCAGTCAACTGTGAGGAAGCCAAGAAACCTGTCTGCAAAAAACAAGAACAGATTCCCCAATGTACTTCCATGTACAGGTAAGTTCATTTTGTAGAAGTTAGTATACTTTTAAATAGAATGTTAAGTTGAAAAGTGGCCTCTTGAGGCAAACACTTGTTAGCACACTTGCACTGCATTGTGAATCGCTCTTAATTGTAGGCGGGATGGGTGCTAAGGTAGTCTATGGAATATCCCCGTATGCAGCAAGAGTCCATGATATGCGAGCAGATTCGGCGATTATTGTGCAAAACAAGTCTGCGTCTTGACCTCAAGACCATTCAGCAGGCGCCTTTTATGTCGGGTCTTCGGGAACCTGTTGTCATGTACATCTAATGAAACCTAGGCTCGACATCCATTATGCTTTTACATTGTGAATTGTGTCAGCAAAAATAGGCTGTGTCACACGGCCTGTAGCGATGTGTTACGTGATGCGCGAGTGTGACCTTGAATCATCATCACATCATATTTTAAATAACGGGCGTAATCAGAATGCCATCTGGCACGTTCACGTCTCGCCCACAATGAGCATTCGTATGGATGCTAACAGTTTTGAAAGCCAATGTCAAGTTTTATTGGATCTCTATGTCCATTGTTGTATTACAAAATATGGCATCAAAATTGACCAATGAACAGCCTAGTCCAGATTTCAGTATGAAATGATGTCATGTCAACTCCAATGGGCTGGCGCGCGGGGTTGCATACATTTGCATGCTTAGATATATCAGACGTTGGACAAGAGACAGAGAGGGTGATACAATGGGTGATATTCAGACTAGTGTTAAGGCTTCATTCCTACAAAACAATTTTGTATTTCAATTTATTCAAAAAATAGTGGACTGCAACATTAGGCAATTAAATGGGTTGCTACCATTCACACCTTTTATTGGTTCGTAACTAGTTTAATTGTAAATTTGTAAGGGACTGTTAAAACTTGATGTGACGTTACAATTCTTATTTCTTTATACCTTTCATTGGAGTAACTATGGGCCACGTGTCTCTCCCCCCCCCCCCACTCCATTTGAAATCTGGAATTGCACACAACAAATGTATTCCTTGCCCCCCCCCCCCTTTCAAAAAAATTGGTGAACCCCCCAGGTGCCCCCTAGAAGCTTAACCCTAGTTATGCTGCTGGTACCTTAAGAAATTCCAGATCGCGTACATTTCACTCCCATAGAATGTGCGATATTTATAAGTTATCTATAGGTGTGGTGGGTACTTGACTGCACCCTCGGCAACCATACGATATCAGTTCTTCCACTTTTAGATGTCAAGTTTAACTGTCATTACACCCATAATTTAAAGAAATATTTACTTTCAATATTTTTTGTATAAGCATGCCCTAAAAATGCTATTGCCAGACATTCAGTTTGGAAAAACAATTCCATGCTCCGATTTTTCCCTTGTAAAGTGGTTGCTAAGGTGCCAACAAATTTTGATCATTCATGTGTCACTTTTTCGCTTAGGATTTCTAGACATTTGAAGTTTTCACAGGACAATAAAATACTGAACATAAAACCCTATGAGGCGATCTTTAACATACAAAAGATTTCTTTTTACTACACTTTTTTTTGTTTTGATAAAAAAGAAGAATTTTCAAAGCTGACTAAATAGTGTTGTTGTAGTATTTGATTTTTTGGCTCGCAATACGTGGTACTAGACCTTAACAAGCCTGACTAATTTTCTAAGCTCATAGTTACATACTCAAAATATTTTGAGAGCATGTTGACAATATTCAAATGCGGTCAATCAGGAGATAAAAAAATCAAGGGAAAAAGTGTTCACAAATCTGATTACTTGATAATCCCCTCTACCATTATGTACAAGTATAAATGTTGGGGAAACCACTGATGTTATGTTTTTGTCGAAAACAAAATGGTCCTAAATGTAAACAAACGACAACTGAGAAAAGAGGGTTGTTTCATGAAATCATTGTTGCTATGTTCTCAGAAAACCGTTTTTGAAAAGGCCTTCCACAAAATATACAGTGAATGAACTAACTAGTGATACAATAACAACAGCTTCCAAATTAAGTGGTCTATAAATGATAAAATACAAATATATATATTTCTGAGTCGCATCATCGGTGTAAAACAGGCAGCCCTCATTATGTATGCAAATAAAACTAGGAGTGGAGTTGTAACATGCCCAGTGGAAAATGCTGCTGAAACGTATGTGAGATGCTGATTGGTAACATAATAGACTTTGGATCTTTGCTGAAATGCTATTGTTGTCATGGAAGCTGCGTTCTCTTGAAGAGATATTCTGTTATTAAAGCAAATGCTCATTGCTTCATTTAGACTACTTGGTCTATCAGCATGTAGCAAACCAATTATACTTATTCAAAGAAGCAAAAGCCTCAATCATTTATGGAGTAAACTAAACTATTACAACTATTATTGTAATGTTACGGAACATGTTAGGTCATTCTGTACATGTAGGGTCCAAAGTCGGACATTTTTACTGTCCCTGTAATCTCGAAAATGTATCATTTGCCATTCAAGTGGCATTAAAAATGACTTCAAACTAATTAATATTTGTTGGGTAGGTCATATCGGCTATCCACCCGAAATATTCCATGTTATATTTGTTTTACTATACCTCATACATATTCAGCGCCGATTTGTTTTTTTTCGTTGCAGTATGCACCTCAATTTTTTTTTTAAACTTCACCAGTTCACCAAAAGAATCGTATTGCTTAACTTCACTAGTTCAGTTCGTTTACAATGCAGTGCAGCTGTAAAAAGTTTGTGTGCAACATTCTTTTGTACAGGAGACATCTTTATTGTCCGTAAATATTTTCTAGTTCGGCATAATTGAGCTCGCTCGGGAAAATAACGTGTGTAACTCGTTTGGGCGATGTTCGCGCGTGCGTACTACACCCGTGCGTACTACACACGTGCGACAGTTCCAAGATTGCTTTGTAAAGCGCATTCCTAGTAGACTGTCGCACGGGTAACCCGTGTGACAGTCTACTACGCATGCGTATTTACCCTGTGCGTGAATCCTCGCGCGCGCACTTGGTAAACAGCACAAATAACATCTGGCACGTGATGGTGAATTGACCAGTGAGTGTTCGACTCTCGATCACGAATATGTATGAGGTATCGTAACACAAAATCGTAGATGCTAGATGAATAGGGACAGGAAAAAGTGGACCCCAAATTCATAGAATGTTCTAAATGCATCTTCTATTGTAGTATTTAAAAATGCCATTTAAGAAAGGCGTACAAACAATATTTCAGTTTACAAATGTACATCCATCATACTAACCACATTTACAAACATCCATGTATCATTGCAGTAGAATGCACAAGGTTTTCATTTCAACTTGGTTGTAAATGTAATGAAACTAATATTAATCTGATGAGGCACTCGGAAAGCACTGTGAAAGAGACAACCAAGGGATTGCATATGGTTTACTTTTAAACTGTCGCTTAATTTCAAAATCACACTTATTTCATCCAGTTGCTTTTGAGTATTTACATTTGTCTCGTGTACCCAGAGGTGCAAAGTTTTTCTCATTCAAAAATAAGTTGCATTCATTTAATCCCAACAATTTCCCAATAATTGAAAAATCCAATAAAACAATTTAACGAAATGTTTACATTTCATACAGGAGCAGGGTTATATCTTATACTTGGAAAGCACATCATGCATTGAATTTGCATTTGCTGAAATGAATCCGAGAAAATTGAATTGCCCTCTTGTGGTAATACTTTCCTCTCCTTTGTAATATTTTTAAAATGTGCACTCTGCCCTATTTGCAAACAATGTGAAGGGTCATTCCTTTTGCTCTCATTATTGGGCCACCAGATCTAAGATTTTACAGGAAGGAGGCTGGGTGTTGAAGTCCAAGGTTCTCCAAAGGGGAAGTGGTTGAGGTATTAGAGTCAACACATACAGAGACCAAAGACCTTAGCAGTAAACCAAATATACAGTATTGTAGAATGTTTTTTTGAGGGAATGAACTTTCAAGTTTTTTGTCAGTGATAACAATGTTCAATGTCTGATGGAAGTGGTTGGTGGATACACTGGATAGCCTTAGATTAATTACTCTGTCCTTACACTCGGTGATAGACCTTTACAGACTTTCCTGCAGCCACTACCAGATCACCACCTGATGTGAATGTGATGCCACGTGGATAACCACATCCCTTGATCACCCATCCAATGTACTTGCCATCAGGACTGTAATGCAGAATATCACCTGTGGGAAGTCCGAACTCAGCAACATAGATGCTGCCATCACTGTCACAGCACACACCAGTAGGCAAGCAACCCCCCTGCATGTTGCTGGTCATGTCTACTGAGAATACACTGGCACCATAGTAGTCTACACATACCAACCTTTTCTTAGGCAGGTTTGTGTAAATAAGCCGGTGATTGTACATTGTCAGATAACTTTCAATCATTGGAGCAGGCAGTCTCCTGATGAGGGATCCATCTGGGTTGTGTAGAGATATCTCCTTCTTGTCTTTATAACCCACTGCTATCAGATTGCTGTCATCCACTGCAAGGCATGTTGGTTGGCTGTCTGACCCTCTACCTGGTGTGAACTGATGGAGGAGCTGATGTTGCTTGTTGAAGACCTTGACTACTGGAATATCTAGAGCAAGTAGCTTGTCATCCTCGGTCACTGCAATACACATTGCATCAGTGAGGCCATTGATTTGTAGCCTTTGTGGGATAGGAGATGGTATATGTTGACTATTGGTCAGTGATACTGTAAATAGTGTTTTAGTCCAATTGTTTAATACTATGTTATTGTCAGAGAGTGCTGACACATGTCGTATCTTTGTTTTTCCTAATTCAAAGTTCTTGAATTCAGTCTTCAGTTCCCATTTCTCCTTCACACATGATCTTGCAGGTCTTGGTGATTGCTTTGCTGCAGCCTTTGGATCTTCCTCCAGAATGAGTCTCCCAAGCGACCTCTTACCTTCTTCAAAATCCATGAAGGTCAACTTGTCAGGAACTTGCTGTGGCCGTTTCCCTGTCAATTCACTGAGGTTATGCAAGAGCTTCTGCTGAAGTTCAAGAATCTCATAGCAACTTGCTTGATTCATGAGTTGTTTGACCTCCTCCAGCTTGTGCTCTGTCTGTGTCACCTCTTTCCTGTTGGTAGCTTGAGCAGCTTCAAATGTTGTGACTCTCTCTTGATAAATCCTGTCAGTCTCTTTTAACAGTTTCTGCTCCTCCTGTCGGATTTTGGTAACCTCTTGGTCAGCCTTTTCTGAGATGTTCTTTTTGGTGTTTGAAAACATGATGTCGAGTTTCTTGCGAGATATGCAAGTCTTCTCTATGGTGGTGTTCAGTTCTGTTTTGCTTTGAGCAACTTTTGCAACAAGTTCTTCTACCTTTTTCTTACATTTCTCAAAAGCCTCAGATAAGCCAATACAAGAGTGTTTGGGTTTTTCATGATCTAGAACAGTACACATGAGACATATGACTTGCTCACATGTGTCGCAGTAAACATTGAGATTCTGATCTGGATGCTTGCCACATTTGGGAACTTCTTCTCTTAGCTTACTCTTGTAGACAATCTCTCCTGATCGGAGTTGAGCCAGTGTATAGATTTCATGAGATTTCATTAGGGTTAGACGTTCATGAGCCTTTTGACATTCTTGACACAGGAAATGATCACAGTCCATGCATCTTGACACAGCCTGATTCTCCTCATCACAGGCTTGGCATTTGATCTCTGACCCTTGACCTCCCAGTAGCTTTTCCTGCATTGTAACTTCCTCCACCAGGGCACTGAATGCAAAGTTATTAGGGAGATCAGCAACCTCAGACCCTTTCAACATGGTGTCACGTCTGCACAGAGGACATGTCAGCTTTGTACCACTAGGATCTTGGCTCTGTCTGAGCTCTTGGAGGCATTGCAGGCAAAAAGTGTGCAAACAGTCCAGCAGTTTGGGCTGCCTGAAACGGTTGGTGCAGATGGAGCATTCCAGATGATCCACACTAATCTTCTCCAATACTGATTGGGCTGTAACATTAGATGCCATCTTCACTGTTGGGCTTGGTGTGATAGGATGGACCTTTAACCTGAAAATGAAGCACATTAAGTAAAAGGTTTTGGAATAACCCATATTTCAACTTCAAATGATAATTTGGCTGAAATAAGTTAGATGTAGCCTATAGTTGAAAACTTTGTGTTAAGTAGAATGTTCATAAAATTGAAGGTTTATTCACATACTATATGCTTGATTCAAACCTGATGTTATTTTTTTTTCAAAAAGAAAATAACAATTAGTTACAGCAAATGTGTAATAGGGTTGCCTTCTTTATATAAGAGCACATTTTGTTCTGAAAAATGCAATATTACAGAATTATTTTCAGCTGTTACAGGATATTTTCTATGTGTCAAGTAAGTTGTAATAAAGTTCATAACAAGTCAAAAAAAAGTAGGTCTCAGTAATAAAGTTTTCAATGACAAACAAATGCCGACGGTCGCGCGAAATTTTTTAAAAAGGGCACTCGTAAATGGCCGCTGGTAACCAAAAAGGCACTGATTAAAAAAAGGGCCTTGTTTAAAACCAAAGGGCCCTCTTTACAAATATGGGGGGGGGGGGGTAAACGATGATGTGCAAAGGGCACTTGTATACGAAATCTGGTCAGTCTTACTGTTTAATACTCAGGTGGGGCTCGAACCAAGTACCTCCTGTTTAGTGCAAATGTCTTATCACTCAACCTCTGAGCTTGCCTGGGTCAGCTGGGTGGTTTGAGTCCAGGTGGGCAGGAGTCTGCAACCAAATATTGTCTGCACCGAAAAAAAATATATTTCAAGTACTGTAACTGGCTCATGTTGCGAATCGTAGATTTAAAGTCCACTTTCCTTTAAGAAATTTCGTAAAAAGAAACATGTACCTTCACATCGGTTGTATTTTTTGTTGTTCTATTATTATTTTGTGATTCACTAAGCTACGTCTGTGCTGACTCTTCTTAAAGGTCCAACACTTGTTTGTAAAACTACAGGTAAGTACAAACAATGCATGTCACTTATTTCTGTCGTGAATAGAAGGAGATTCTTGTATTTCACATGTCTGTATTCTAACAGGTTTGACAGATCCACCTGAATTTTCAGTAAATTCACATACACTTGTAATTGGCAAATACTGAGTTATTACATACATGTACTTCATATGAGATAATGTGATGCTGTTGATTCATATCAGATGTATAGAAAGACTTACAGGTAGAACCATTAAATAAAAATCTTACCTTCAGGTACATATGAAATGAGTTATTGCTATCTGCCCATTCTGATGTCACTTACGGCAATGGTTGAAATGAACAAAGATGGCGTTCTATGTATACGCCCCTCTGTATCAACACCATGTCACATGATTTTGAGTCATTTGCAGTCCCCAGATTCCACTTCTGTAGCACTTTGGTACGTGCTCATAGTAAAATCAAATGCAGTGTTTTATATCAAATGGATCCAAAGGTCCTGGGCTGGTAATATTTGCAGTACCAGTACCCCAATTCCGATAACGTAGCACTTTGGTACGTGCTCACAGTAAAATCAAATGCAGTGTTTAATATCAAATGGATACAAAGGTCCTGGGCTGGTAATATTTGCAGTCCCCGGATTCCACTGATATAGAGCTTAAATTGGTACGTGCTCATAGTGAAATCAAATGCAGCATGCTTACTGTGTTTTATATCTAATGGATCCAAGAGTCCAGAGCTTGTAATTAGCAAGATTATGGACACGTTTATCAGAAAGGTAAACACAAAGAAGCCACAGGGTCAATTACCTGATGCAGTTATTCTGAGCTGACTCTTATTGCAGATGACACCTGTTTTAATATCCTTTGATTTGTTGCCAGTCATGATACTCCAGTCTGTTGTGTAGACAAAAATAAACAAATAAAAAAAGGTGTATAATGAACCGACAGTAATTAGGTTTGGAATCTAGTTTTGTTTTGTTGTGTTTTTTTTTTTCACTTTTCTTTATTTTTATCTACATTTTAGTTACTTTTGGTGTTTTACAATGTACATGCATACAGCCTGTCTCAAAAAAAGGTACAATCGGGGAAAAAAATGGTTAAATATGAAATTTCAAAATAAGTCATTCTTACTTGGCATAATATTAAAGAAAAAAGACTGGGCTTTCCAATAGTGTTTGTTTGATCTTATTTGCTTTTGTCAATTCATAGATATAATCAATTTAGTGCGATACACAAAAATCGATTTTGCACCACTTTTATGCATGGGCAGAGTTGTTTCGAGTACTGTGCCATGCTGTCTTGAAACTCACAAAAGATTGCAACCAGAAAGTGGCACAAGCTCGATTTTTGTGTTCTGCAGTAAACTGGAGTTATCTCTGGATTGACAAAAGCAAATGAAATAAAACAAAAAGTATTGGAAAGCCTGGTCTTTTTTCTTTAATGTGATGCTCAAAACGACTTACTTATGTTGAGATTTAATATTGAAAAAAAAAATCACTTTCGATTGTACCATTTTTTTTTTTAGACAGGCTGTATATAGCATGTAACAATACTACGATTGCATACTTAATTTAAATTACATTCACCATTCACCATTCACTATAAACTTGTTATTTCTTTCAGTTTTTTCAGCTTCAGCAGTGCTTTGTTACAAAATTTCCAAAAACTCGTATTTCTAAAGCTTACTCTTCTATTGCATCCAGTTCAGTTCATTCAGCGCTAATTTTGAATATTCATTCATGTTTGTGCCTTCCATAGGCTGATTGGTCCATTGCTGAGATGAATGCTGAGATTGGGGAGAGCCACGCCCACCTCTACACATCACAGACTGATTAACAGGTAACACAACATCAATATGTGATGTCAGTCTATTTGAAATCTGTATGTACTCAAAAGGGGTTGGTGTAAAGTCATAAGGGTAAGAGAGGTCCTGTCATTCAGGCATTTTTTTTGCTTGAAGCTTCAAATGCGCTCAAAATCTGAAGACAGATGCTTAATAACTAACCTGAAAACATTTAAGCTTAGTAATTGCCGTACATTCCAAAAAACAATATACTAGGATCTTGATTTCAGTTCAAAAGTTGCAGAGTCATGTTTTGAAATGCGCCTAAAATCAGCATCTGGATAAGCTCTCATTCAACGGATTGCAGCTACGCGATGTCACACACTGAACCGATAAATAGTAGCTAGCAACCCCCTGTGCGTGTGCATCATGTCATTGTTTGCACACACCCGTTCACCGATTCTTCAAATAATACAAAAATGGGTCAAGGATGACCCATGCATATAACAAGCCAAATAGATATTCATACATTTAAGAAGAGTATGTTGCACAAAATGTGTTTATAAACAAATTTCATCACAAATGTTCATAAACAAATTTCATTGCATCTGTATCTGTATCTGTATCAGTTGCTCCAGCTAAACGGTAGAATCCACATCCCGCTAGAGTTGCAAGTCTCTTTCAAGAAATGCCACAAGTTGTCTGTGTTGTATGGCGTTTTGATTGCAGATGTTGAGCTTATGTAGGCCTATGGTTTTCTTTTCGAACCTTTCAGGAAGCCATGGCCAGGATGCAACACATGTGTTTTGCCTTGGAGCTTTCCAGCATTGATGATCAGAAGTAACCAATCATGCAGCTACATTGTACAGAACTCGCTCAGGTAATGGGCCAATCTCATAGCCTAGACTTGAATCAAGTCGGTAATTGGCCGGGTTTGGTCCGCCTGCACCATGGCATACCGTACTGTACCAGCGGTGTTGACTACCTCATAACGTCCTTGGGTTATGTGAAGTGCGTGGTATAATAACACGCAGGAACGATTCCTGCATCCTTGACCTCCTATGTGTGTACGTTGATTCCAATTACCAACTTGAATAATCTGCAACCCCATTGTACATACGGCATGACAAGCTAACAAAATTGGATGAAGCACTCTGATTGGCTATGAATCAGGAGGATATGAATATTCATATTCACCTGACATTTATGCATCTGGGTGCACATGTGACATTCCCATGGATGTGATATTTCACTGACATGCATGAACTTATGTGGGGAATGCAGCACTAATTCCTGGGTCGTTTGGAATCCGTGCAACATTATTTACAAAAAGAAAAAAGAATTGGACACTTCCTTAGCAATGCAGCAATACAATGTTGGAATTCTGGATCTGGTAGCTCTGACGACCATGAAAAGTTCCGCTACGCATTTTCAACAAAAAGTGCAAAGCTAAAAATATAATTTATAACATATAACATGTTATTATTTTAGGCCTGGCAAATGGACTGATGATTGCAGTGATTGCCGTTATCGCTGCTTAGTCTTCCTCATTATTGTCATCATCCTCATCACTCTGGTCAACAGAAAGGTCAAGGGTAAGAGGACGAGGAGCCAGTCCTCCTACCAGATGACTATCCTCCCTCCCCGCCCCCAAACTGGTGCTTCCAGGATGATCGACCCGGCAACGCCAGTGATGACAGTTGTTACGCTGCTGTGGGCGGGGCCACGGCACAGTCAACCATCAATGCCAGTGATGCCAAATGTTATGCTGCTGTGGGCGGGGCAGTGGATGGGGCCACAGCAGAGTCCATCATATTTAGCAGTGATGACAAGTGTCTCGTTGCTGTGGGCGGGGCAGTGGGAGGGGCCACAGTAGAGTCCACCATCGACGCCAGTGATTACAATTGTTTTGTTGCTGTGGGCGGGGCATTGGGCGGGGCCACAGCACAGTCAACCATCAATGCCAGTGATGACAAATGTTATGCTGCTGTGGGCGGGGCAGTGGATGGGGCCACAGCAGAGTCCATCATATTTAGCAGTGATGACAAGTGTCTCGTTGCTGTGGGCGTGGCAGTGGGAGGGGCCACAGTAGAGTCCACCATCGACGCCAGTGATTACAATTGTTTTGTTGCTGTGGGCGGGGCAGTGGGCGGGGCCACAGCAAAGTCCACCATCAACTTGTTCAATCCAGTCTACAAGACCTCGCTCGATTGGTCCCCGCCTTTGAATCCGGTCTCGTTTGAGTCTCCCCCACCCCAAGCTGGAGGTG